CGCTCCTCTTGTTTCCCAGCACAGAGTCCACATCATTTCCACGTTAGACTCCTTGGGCCTGCTTCCAGTGGCAAGCAGCAACTGTGCAGATGCAGACTAGTGGGGTGTGTAATGGCAGTTTATGTGCACTCACAGCTCACTGGAGAGGAGGGGATGAACTCCAAAAAGTACAAAGCCTAGCTGAGGACCCAGTGCTCCAGAAGAATGAGAAGAAAAAAAAAAAAAAAAAGCTCCAGAGACACAACTGGAGGACTTCTTTACTTTGATCCAACACAATTAATTCAATGCCGGGTGTGGCAGTTTGTAGAAAGCACTGGAAGCACAGGGCTGAATGGTACCATAATTGCACAATTTGAGGAGCTGGAGTTTTCATGAGCCTACAACTCAGGCCAGGTGTAGGAGATGTGTTACAATTTAGGGGCTGTTTGGGAAAAGATGATCTGCTGGAGTCCCTTGACCCCAGTTCTGCTTATTTCTAAATCCTCAGGTAGCAGAGGTGATCTGGTGGGGGTGGGGGAAGAACACAATGATGAATGCACCAAGAAAACCCTTCAAAACTTGAAATGGGGAAGTAAAACCTCATTAGCCTCTCTTGGTACACACTATTTTTAAACACTGCATCTACTTCTTCGTGCCATGCTTCACATGACTCTATGCTGTTTACTCTAGGAAAGAGATTCTTGAAAATGCCCCCAAGAACAACTTCTGAACATCATCCAAAGCCTCCCAGGCCTTATGTTAATACCTTCTTTCCTCACTTTCAGAAGTGAGGAAAGCCCACATCTTCAAAATGGGCTCACCTGAGGCTCTGGGAACCAGACATGCGTTCATGTATTTAACTTATATCCATGAGACTCAGAGTTGAGTGACAGAGATAATGCAGGCCAGCACCAAATGCCAGAAGGTCTGGATTCTTCCTGTCAACATGTTCCCTGCCTGTGCAAGGTTGAGATTGTGGGACTTCATTTGCATTCTGGTTCTGCTACTAACTAGGTGTGTTGCTTTGAGCAACTCACTTAACTTCTCTGGTTTTCTGTTTCTCCATTTGTAAAACAAAGAGTTTGGATTAGAGATCCCCCAATTTCTTTTCAGGATAAAATATAAATTCCCATGGTTACCAGTGATCTAGTCAAGTTTCATTTTCCTCATCTATAAAGCAGAGAGAGTGATACCTGCTTGTGGACTTCACAGGGAGGGGGTGAAAGTGCTCAGGAAGTGTTAACACAAATGTCAGCTACTGTCATCATTAGGATTCTTTCTGCAGCTCTCTCTTTCTTCAGAGCATGTTTTTTATGTCTTTTACCATTTGTGCTAAAGAACAACTCAGTGCCTTACAGGAATTCCTGGAATTCAGTTTTTGGTTTGACTGAATAGGAGGCAAGATGTCAGTTCAAGCAGATAAAGTTGTTGTAAGGGACAGTAGTGTCTGAAAGTTCTTTGGAAGGAAGTGGGCAAAGGCCTTCTGTAGTGCCCAAAGAGGGGTGGCTTCTTCTTGATCTCATTTACGGGCATGAACACTGCTTACTAAGAAACTTGTGTTCTCAAATGGGGCTTTGCCCAGTGAATGAAAAGGCCTTAGAGGGTTCTACAGGTAATAGCAGTAATCTGGGGTGCTTATCTTTTGCCTAGCATCTGTACCTTTCTAAGTAATTTATCCTCATTAACTCATTAGCACTCCCAACCCTACACTGGCCTTTGGGATGGAGGGAGGTGATATTATCTGAGTGTTGCATTCAGAGAAAGCCCCTGGGTTGAGAATGATGGTCCCTCTGTTCAAACCTGGTAGAATTCTCCCCTGCCACCACAGCAAACCCTCTCATCATTTGTCCCCCCACTACCAGAATCCCAGAGGTGCCATCTTAGTGCCTTGCCCAGTATTACGGGGTATCAGAAGTGAAATAGCTCTTTCAAGAGTCCCTGCAGGGCCAACTCCTTTACAGTGCAAGAAATCGAGACATTTGATCAACCCAGAGGGGAAGTGAAACAACCAAAGCAACGCAGATAGCTATGGACACAGTCAATAACTTGTCTTTATAGGCAAAAACTAGAAACCACCCTCATCCCGCCACCATACACCTTAACAAAGTAAACACTCTTTGTGCCCCTCGAGATATCAACTAGTGCTTAAACACCAAGGGTCTGGGGAAGACAAAGTACATAATGTCTAACTGACCACACAGCCCAGAGTTTCTGTGGCCAACTCTGAAGAGTTATCTCACCCCCAGCTGTAGCAGTGACCCTTCATCTCTTAAGCTCCTGCAATGGGTCATTCTTAAGGGAAATGAAAGTTGTAATTCCATCATTCTGGAGAGAATGAATTACGGGGACGGGCACTTTCCTTTTCTCTCATTCAACAGCCAAATTAATAGAACCCCTAGGAACAGGGCTTTAGGAAATGGAAAAGTCAGTTAGTGAGCAATTATAATGTGAAATGAAAAGGTACATAGTGGCCCAAGAGCTTGGGCAGCTCTACGCTTCAGATATCACCTACCCTAATGTAGAACACGATGCCTTTTGCCAAGAACACACCTGGATCAGCTCTGTGCTTCTCATAGAATTAGCACACAGTATATATCTGAGGATTATTTGGTGGTGCTTGGTTGGTGTTTTTTCATTTTTCAGCTTATTCTTTTTTTTTTTAATTCTTTTAAAGTGTTTAGTAAAGACACAAGTAGCCAGTGTTCAAAACAGCTGGGAGGAATGCTGGTGATAGAGGCTGTCATCTGTATATTCTGAACTGGTTTCTAACACAGATTCTGTTACTTTTGTTCTGGGTTTAAGTAAGTCAGAAAAACGTTACTGGACTTCCTACCCTAGTCCCTCAAGATTCTCAAGTCACATCCGCTTCTGAAAGATACAGAGGAGAGTTGGAACAAACAAAACAAAAAAAAAAAACAAAAACCAGTTTTAGCTTTATTTAGGCAATTGATTTTCAAATCAACTTAATTATGAAATAATCCCTCCTCCATTAAAAAAAATCCATTAAAATTCCACAAAATTCAGGTTCTTTGGGAAATATCCTGGGAACTAGTAACTCAGACCAATTTCTGAACTTTACTGGTGAAAAAACAGAGGTTCCAAGAGGGGCTGAAGTTCTTACACGTAGCTAGTGAGGAGAGCTAGGACTAGAACCCTACTTCCTGACTGCCTGGTCCAAACTGATCAACTACATCCAATAACAGGGCATTCCCTAATGTGGGTCCTGGGATGCCAGGCATCATGGGTAGCCTTTGAGATAATAGGTAAAAAGAATGGGAACATTTTATTTTATAATAGGTCCTTTTAAGGGTAATTTGCTTGAAGATAGTTGTTTTAGATGCTTTTAAAAATAGGTAATCATATCCTATTCTTTTGTTATCTCAGTTCTTGGGGTGCTTCCCCATTGCAGCCTGCGTTTGCCATAGGTTATATGTTAAAAGAATAAATTAAAGAATCTGCAGGAATCAGAAAAAGAGAAAACAGGCAGAAAGAGCAGGATGGATGAGAAAAAAGAGCCAGCAGTCACTGCTCAGTGGAAGACAGAGGTGCTCTGGCAGAGAAGGGAATGGAGACAGTTGCAGGTAATGGGAGAAAACTACAAAATGAAATTAACTTTTGATCAGGAAGCTTTGCTTTTACACAGTGACTCATAAAGCTAATTCGGAGCCTGGCCAAGCCAGGAGGTGAGGATGAGCACCAACTGCTGAGAACCTTTGTGAATCTGGATCAAGTTGGATTTATTGCACTGTTACAATAAACATGCAATACATTTTTTAAAGCCCTACAACAATAACAGATGAATAACACACAGGTCTTGCTCTCAACGAGGTGAAAGGCTAATGGGGAATAAGAGAGAGAGACTCAGATAAAATGCCAGGTAGAATGTGAGCAGTGTCTTTATAGGTGCAACAAGCCCAAACTGTGAAGAATCAGGGGACTGGAAGATCATATCAAAACATACAGAACAGAGAGCAGTCCAAGTGGGTTCCAGTCGGTGGTGTGTGTGTATGTGTGGACTGGGAGTGGTGTGGAGTGGAAAGTCTTCACGTCACAGCCAACGGGCCATGAACACTGGGTTGAGATGATGCTCCAAGCAGGTATCGGGAAGCTGATGAAAAATATTTTTGTTTTGTGTGTGTTACAAATGATTCCCCGGCAGGGTGACTGGCAGAAAGAGGTAAGCCAGGAGAAGGAGCTCGCTGGTGGGGGAGGACGCAACTTGGTTCCAAAAAGGCTATGGACACCCTTGAGGTGTTGCACATCAGACAATCGGAAAATCTGCCTGCAGATCCTGGCTGAGTCCTCTCCTAAGAGCACAGAGACAGCAGAAAAGTTCTGGTGGTTGTCTCAGGTAACAGGGAAGCTAGGGAGGATGTGAGGAAAAGACTAGCCAAAGAAAACCTAGATAGGAAGAAAAGATGCAGGAACAGCCACGGGGGGCCGAAGTTTCAATAACGAAATTGTAGCCATGGTTGAAAACCTCAACCTTGGAGCCGGAAACGTGTGAGGTTGAATCCCAGGAACCCGAGTAGTCACATTTAGCAAAGGGACTTCAAAGAGTTTTTGAGTCTGTTTTCTCATCTATGAAACGTGAGTGATTTCCACCTCAAAGGACTGAGGGCATTCACTAATATTCTTAGCGTGGGGTTTGCCCACAGTAGGAGCAAAGGAGTGAGCAGGGGCCAGCGGGAGAAGGAATGAGAGGAGTTAAGAGTATTCCCCTGAGGAGCATCGGGAAATGGAGGCCGGGACCCTCGGGAAGCCCAAAGCCTTCGCTTCAGCTGAGCTGGCTGACTGGCGTGGAAGAAGGATGGGTGCCCGCAGCCTGAGGCCTTGCCCTTCCGTCCTCGCTGTCCTCCAGCCGGGCCTCCCAGCAGCCCCCCCACTCCCCAACTCCCAGCCCCCCCTCACTCTCCCCGGCCACTCCCCCACCAGCCAGGCCTCAAAGCCTGATGCGCATGCGTCCTCCCGCGCCCTTGCCCAGCTTTCCACGTTTCACTTCCCTCCCTTTCCCTCCGCAGCGCCAGCTGCATCGCTACGATTGGCCAGAAGACCTCCTCGGATTGGCCAATAAACGGCGCCCTGTCGCCCCCGTGTTACTGGGTAGAACAAAACAAAAACAAACAGAGCGAGAGGGGCCAGAGAAGCTCGGAGGTAGAGACAGACGCTGAGGTGCGGGGTCCGGGCCGGCTGACCAGGGACCTGGGCGAGCAACAGCGGCGGCGACGGCGGCGGCCTGAGGGGTCAGTAGCGGCGGCCCGGCTCGCGCGCTCGGGAGGACCGCGCTGTCTCCCACAGCTCCTATCTCTTCAGAGGCAGCCGCTCGTTGGCGGCGGGGGGGTGGGGGGGTCGTGGAGGAGGCGGCCGAGTCCTTGCCGGGCCTGCGGGGCCGGCGTCCGCCGCCTCCTCGGAGATCGGCAGGCCCAGCCGCGTCCGCCCCAACGCCCTGGGCTGCGGAGAACCGGCCCCGGTGCCCTCCTTCTGGCCCCGGCCGGGAGCTTGGCGGCGCGGGCCCGCCCCCTCTTGGACCCCCCTCCAGGCTTAGACGGGAGCGCTGGGCTCTCGCAGTCGAGGGGCTCCTCGCCCCCCAGAAGGCCGACTTTTCATTTTCCTCTGGGGGTGGGCGTCGGCAGGCGGGTTTCTGGCCCGACTGAAATCCTGTGAGGAGGGTTTGCGCCCTCCCCGCCCCCCTGGCCTCCTTGGGGGCCCGCTCTGAAGATGCGGCCCGGCGTTCCCAGACCCGCCCGGCCCACCGGAGCCCGGGCCCAGCCGCCCGCCCGCGTCCAGCACCCTGCGGGGGTCGGCCTGGCCTGGGGGCTGCAGGAGCCCGGGCCTGCGCGGCGGGGAAGCGGGCCGGGCTGCGGCGAGATGGGCTGCTGGGAGGCGGCCACGTGCCCGCCGCCCCGGCCCTGCGAGAACTTCGCGGCGCATCAGGTTGGGTATAGGGTCGCTTGTTCAGTTTAAATGAAATCTCCCCGAGAAAACAAAGGCAGGGACAGAGCCCCCTCTCTGTGAAACGTGTGCTCTGCCTGCTGCATTTGTCTGTTTGATGCTGTGGTGTATGAGGGGAGTCTCTTTTGGTTTGTTTGCTTTCCAAGAGCTTCAGAACTGCCTTCGAAGTCAAAATCGCCTGTCTCCCCTGGCCCTAGTGAGAACTGACTGCGTAGCCAGCAGTTGTGAGATACTGACAGAAGTAAAATGACTAAAAATGCACCTTCCTCTGGGGGAAAAAATGTCACCGCTTGTTTTTCCCTACATTTTCACTGTTAAATTAGACTTTTGACATTCTTGCTAACGTAAGGCTTTTTAGGAACCCACCACTCACTTTTTAAATTATCACTACAGATATGTTGTAAATTTACTTATTGGTATTTATGCCTTTGAGCTTTCCTGGCGGCTCAGTGGTGAAGAATCCGCCTGCCAATGCAGGAGATGCTGGTTCGATTCCTGGCTCCGGAAGGTCCCTTGGAGAAGGAAATGGCAACCCACTCCAGTATTCTTGCCTGGGAAATCCTGTGGACAGAGGAGCCTGGCAGTCTACAGTTCATGGGGTTGCAAGAGTTGGACACAACTTAGCGACTAAACTGCCACCACCATTTAAGCCCTTAACTTTCCTTTTTTATAGGTTTATTAAGCTCCTTAATATCTTAGCAGGCGTCTTTGAATTTTATTTTGATTGTTTTTTCTGTTGTAGTAATGAGAAAAGAAAAATAGTTGGTTAAGAGTGTAAAAATAAATGACATTTTGATATTTTCCCTCATTTTTGCATCATTGTGGTTGAATGCTTTTAGCTGATTTTAAGTGGCTAGTTAGCAGTGGTTGTAGCCCTGGAGTGAATACAAGTACTTTTCTAGTTAACATATGGCCTAAACTTCAAAAAAATGTCAAAGTGGTTTATGAGGTATATTTCAGGAAATAGATTTTTGAGGGGAGGTAGGATGGAAAAGTGAGGCTCTTTTTGGGAATGTCTTGGAAATTGATGCTTCTGCTTGTATGTTTCTGTGAAACACAATGGATAAATGAAAACAGTGTTTAATGTTAGCCTTTAATTTTGTCTAACTTACAGTTTTATTGTAAATTTTGTAGTTTGGTGTGAAGAATGTGAAGTTTAGATTTTTTTTTTGCTTTATATTTTTCTTAAGTTTGGGGCAAAAATCTTACGGATTGTTAAGTAACTGGAAGCTCATTACTTTGAAGACAGTAAAAACATGGGACTTATCTTTATCCTTCTGTAAATTCTTCTAAAACATCTGTGTTGTTTTCAAGTGTCCCTGAGTTCTTGAATGTGTTAATCATTGCCAGAAGACCGAGACAGGGCTTTGTGTTGTTGTTGTTATAGTTATTTAATAAAAACAAACTTGATAAACTATAGTCATTACCTGATAATGTTCTTTGTCCAACTGAGTGTCTTTTGTGTAATAATTTAGATATTATTTTTAGTGTTAGAAAAGCAGTATTTAAAAATTTGATATGACAGCAGAAGTCTGTGTTGTAATAAGCTTCTTTCTGGTAACTCTAAAGAAGAATCTTCCTGTGAGTTATTAAAATCTTGTATTGAGCTTGTGCACATGGAACTGGATTTAGAAGGTCAGGGTTCTAATTCTGGTTCTTCCAATGAGCACTTTCTCTGATTCTGTTAAGTTGTGTGAACAGTGGAGTTCATACCTCAAGATTGTTTTCAGTGGTACATGAAATAACGCATGTAAAATTGTTTTTGAATTCTAAGGGGCTTTTAAAACATCAGTTATACTTTATTAGCAAAATTCTGCAGAAAGTGTCCTCTTGAAGATTATACTTGTATCAAGATTGAAGAAGATTTTTAAAATGTAACTCTAGTTTAAAAATCTCACAGGCATATCATGTGACATTTTCTCTTTCCAAAACATGTGATTCATCTACTGAAATGAAATAGATTTGGCATTTTCAGCCATGGAGGACACTAATGTTTAGGTTTATGAACTTTTTGTTCATTTATCTTTATGTGTGTATTTCTAAGGTTCATTTTTTCCTCCTATATCTGAAGCTGGTAGGAGTTATGATACTGAAAGTTATTTATGTAGAATCCATATGCCTGTTTCTTCTGAATAGAATGAGAGTGATTTCACCATTTTCTTAACTTCTGAAATATTATGGTAGCATCTCAGTAGCCTAAGGATTATGCCACAATAAGAAACTTAAAATTTTAGCATAAGGTATGTGTTCATTTTTGTTTCACAAAATAATACCCTTTTCTGAAGGAAAGGGCTGTAAAACTTACAAGATGTTAAAATGGTGTATGTTAAGAAATGTAAAAGTCAGTTTTTCCTTTGAGTTGCAGGAGGCGTATCATTTTTCTAAAATGACAACTAACAGTAGGTTATGTTACATGAAAACTAAATACTTTTTTGTAATTAGTTTATTAGTCATTTTCTTTAATTTGTGCATTTTGTATCTTTAAAAAGTCACTAGACTTCCATGGTGACCCAGATGGTAGAGTCTGCCTCCAATGTGGGAGACCTGGTTTGATCCCTGGGTCAGGAAGATCCCCTGGAGAAGGAAATGGCAACCCACTCCAGTATCCTTGCCTGGAAAATCCCATGGACAGAGGAGCCTGGTGGGCACCAATCTATGGGGTTGTAAAGAGCCGGACACAATTGAGACTAACATACATATCTTTGAAAAAGGGCATACTGCTGGTGAAATGATTATAAATGACCTGAATGACATATCTAACTTATGTTACTTCTAAACAGATACTTAAGTACTCTAAATCATTATTTTAAAAATATTTCCAGACAGATTCTAAAATTGTATTTGGTTACACCTTCTGGTGATAATTTTCATGAGAATGTATTTTGATAGTCTTTTTTCAAACAGTGGATTTTTATTGCCAAGTTAATTGTCTAAATAAAAGGTAACTGATTTCATCAACTAGGACCTTCCAGCATTAGTAATATTCAAACCATTTTGAAATAAAGTTCTGAAATATTGAGGTGCTAATGTCATTGTCGGAGAAGGCAATGGCAGCCCACTCCAGTCCTCTTGCCTGGAAAATCCCATGGACGGAGGAGCCTGGTGGGCTGCAGCCCATGGGGTCGCGAAGAGTCAGACACGACTGAGTGACTTCACTTTCACTTTTCACTTTCATGCATTGGAGAAGGAAATGGCAGCCCACTCCAGTGTTCTTGCCTGGAGAATCCCAGGGATGGGGTTGCAGAGTCGGACACGACTGAAGTGACTTAGCAGTAATGTCATTGTACTTACTCTTTTCTTAAATAGGTAAGATTTTTAAAAGGAATGAGTTTTTCAGATTATAAAAATAATGCTCTCATTATAGAAAATACTAATTTAAAAAATTTCTTTGTAACAATAATTATAGGTGCCTCAGTGATGAAATGGCAGATTTATCTGCTTTCAGATATGTTTTAGTGTGAAAAATTAGATAATCCTGTCTTTTTTTTAACCAAAACTGTGTTATTTGCATTTTAAAGTATTAGTTCTTATAGTTAATTGGCAACAAACTATTCAATATCTAGATGTAGCAGATTCATTATGAGGCCTGGTATTTTAAAAAAAAATTTGGAATGTGTATCTACTCTAACTTGAAATAAGCATGTTTAGCAAATGTATCTTTTAATTCTAAGGTACAGGGGTGCTTTGCCACATCCAGAAATATGGACTTTTTTTTTCTCTTTGGACACAGGTAAACTTATCAAGAAGATTGAAACCAAATGTTAATTAGGGGAAGTAAAGTGAACTCTTAAAAAAAAAAAGGAATTATGTGGTGCTTTTTTTTTTTTTAAACAGTCTGAGTAAATTAAACGGACCTTAATTATGTGAGTTTGGAAGATACTGAAGTTTGTCTTTTTTTTTTCTTTTTAAAGAAATAACATCCCAAAGGAAGAGTTCCATTTGGTAATTTAATCAGTGCAAGTGAAATTAAGGAACAATGGATGTAGAAAATGAGCAGATACTGAATGTAAACCCTACAGGTAAGTAAGTATCTTGAATCTTGACTGTACTGTGAGCAAGTTTTAGGCCATTCCGAATTTTATGAAAACATCTTTACTTTAAAAACCATCTTAACTCGTGCTATAATAAATCAGGTCATATTATTTTAAAAATCAAGTTGGTGATTCTTATTTTTATGAAATTCATCGTATGTATTTTTCTGTGTGTCTTTTCACATTTCATACATTATTCTCCAGTATTTATAATAAACTCTATGGTGTAGATGGAAGAATAGTGAACCTGATCATTACTATTTTCATATGTGCTAGTTAGCAGTTTCTATAATATAAACTATTATTGGTATCATTGATATCTTTCCTAACTAATAATTTATTATAAATTAACTGTATTTTCCCCAATTTTCCGTGATGCTTCAGTAGTACATTATTGTGTATAAAAATGATTTTGTAGAATAGATGTCCAAAATAACTTTAGATCACTTAAAATGTGTCTGTACCTTTCAGGATAATCTTTGTAGAGAGCTAATTAGGATTATGAAATATTCTCAGTAGCGAGAACTTTTCATGTTGGTACATTTTAGGTAATTCTTTGCTTTATGATTAATACTGAAAAAAACTCCATGTAATTGAATGTTTAGCATATTTCATTTTTTAATATTACAGCTTCATTTTTCAATGATTTTGATTCACTGTTGTATCCAGTTCTTTGATCTGAATTCACACTTTGAAGTTGAAGCTTCTTTGCTATTTAAGTGTGCTAGAAAATTATTGTTGAAAAAAATTACTACAATAATTAATTATTTTGGTGCCACTATATACAATAGCTCTTTGAATACTTCTTTTTTAGGATTATAAATGAGTCTTACGTCCCTGCTTCATTCAGGTGGGAATGGTAATGATAAAATTTAAGAATATATTTCACAGGTGGACAATTGTTTCTTCTCTGTACTGTCTAGTATTATAGCCAGTAGCCACATATGACCACTCAGCTCTTAAACTGTGACATATCAGAATTGAGATGTATTGTAGGTGTAAAACTTTTTCTGTTGGTTACATGTTGAAATGATAAAATGGATCTATTACATTAAATAAAATAATAGATTTCAATTGTTCCTTTTTAGTTTTTAATAGGAATATTAGGAAATTTAAAATTACATCTTTGACTTGCATTATTTATTAGATAGCAAAGCTCTAAGTTTTATACTGTTTTCTAATTGTAACAAGTTCTGTTTCTAACCTTGTTCTTGGTGTCTCTGCTCAGTTCATCCTTATATACTTCATTGCTTGGATGAGCCTTAGATAGGCTTTTGCAGTCAATTTAACCTGTAACAGTCCATGTTAGACAGACTGCTGTATTAATTCCAGCTTCTGCTTTCACCAGCTATGTTACTTTGGGGAAGTAGGTTATGTGCTTTGACCTTCAGTTTCTTCATATGTAAAGCTGGAATTGTAAATAACCCACTTTAAAGGTTTATTACTGGGATTAAGTGAGATACTGTGCATGTGTCATGCCCATAGCGCATATTATGTATGTCACAAATGAAAATGTGCTTATATTGTTAAATATAATAACATAATTCAGTGGACTAGTAATGAAAGTGTGATTGTCTGGTACTGTGGTGTAATGTATGTTGGGTTGATTATTGAGATGTTAGAGAATTCAGAAAGAAGGATTTAGGACACAGTAGAAAATGACTTTGAAATCACCACATTCTGTACGCTGCTGCTGCTGCTAAGTCGCTTCAGTCGTGTCCGACTCTTTGTGACCCCATAGACGGCACCCACCAGGCTCCCCCATCTCTGGGATTCTCCAGGCAAGAACAGTGGAGTGGGTTGCCATTTCCTTCTCTAATTCTGTACTCAAGGTTTTTTTTATCTTTTAAACTTGGGTTTTCTTAAAGTCAGATCAGTAGTGGTTCAGTTCAGTCACTCAGTTGTGTCTTACTCTTTGTGACCCCATCTTAAAACCAGCTTGAACATCTGGAAGTTCACGATTCACGTATTGCTGAAGCCTGGCTTGGAGAATTTTGAGCATTACTTTACTAGTGTGTGAGATGAGTGCAATTGTGCGGTAGTTTGAGCATTCTTTGGCATTGCCTTTCTTTGGGATTGGAAGGAAAACTGACCTTTTCCAGTCCTGTGGCCACTGCTGAGTGTTCCAAATTTGCTGACATATTGAGTGTAGCACTTTCACAGCATCATCTTTGAGGATTTGAAATAGCTCAGCTGGAATTCCATCACATCCACTAGCTTTGTTTGTAGTGATGCTTTCTAAGGCCCACTTGACTTCACATTCCAGGATGTCTGGCTCTAGGTGAGTGATCACACCATTGTGATTATCTGGGTCATGAAGATCTTTTTGGTATGGTTCTTTGTGTATTCTTGCCACCTCTTCTTAATATCTTCTGCTTCTGTTAGGTCCATACCATTTCTGTCCTTTATTGAGCCCGTCTTTGCATGAAATGTTCCCTTGGTATCTCTAATTTTCTTGAAGAGATCTCTAGTTTTTCCCATTCTATTGTTTCCCTCTATTTCTTTGCATTGATCGCTAGGAAGGCTTTCTTATCTCTCCTTGCTATTCTTTGTAAGTCTGCATTCAAATGGGTGTATCTTTCCTTTTCTCTTTTGCTTTTTGCTTCTTTCTTTTTACAGGTATTTGTAAGGCCTCCTCAGACAACCATTTTGCTTTTTTTGCATTTCTTTTTCTTGGTTATGGAACCCCAAAACTTAGGTAAGTATATAGCAAAATATAAAAGAGCAATAAAAGGGCAATTGATATAAAAATGGGTTAAAATTATAATACCTAATATATAAAATATACCTAGATGTATCTACTGCTCAAGATACATAAATGTATATTTGAAAGGATATTAAAATAGTTGAAGAAACTCGGGTGTAGGAAATAATGATTAAATTGAATACTTTAGTACTCTGAGGGACATTTTATTTTTATTTTTTATTTTTTTCCATTTATTTTTATTAGCTGGAGGCTAATTACTTTACGGTATTGTAGTGGTTTTTGCCATACATTGACATGAATCAGCCATGGATTTACATGTGTTCCCCCTCCCGCCTCTCTCTCCATCCCATCCCTCTGGGTTTCCCAGTGCACCAGCCCTGAGCACTTGTCTCATGCATCCAACCTGGGCTGGTGATGTTTCACCCTTGATAATATACATGTTTTGATGCTGTTCTCTCTAAACATCCCACCCTCGCCTTCTCCCAGAGTCCAAAAGTCTGTTCTGTACATCTGTGTCTCTTTTTCTGTTTTGCATATAGGGTTATCATTACCATCTTTCTAAATTCCATATATATGTGTTAGTATACTGTATTGGTCTTTATCTTTCTGGCTTACTTTGTATAATGGGCTCCAGTTTCATCCATCTTATTAGAACTGATTCAAATGAATTCCTTTTAATGGCCGAGTAATATTCCACAGTGTATATGTACCACAGCTTCCTTATCCATTCGTTTGCTGATGGGCATCTAGGTTGCTTGCATGTCCTGGCTATTATAAACAGTGTTGTGATGAACATTGGGGTGCACGTGTCTCTTTCAGATTTGGTTTCCTCTGAGGGACATTTTAATTCATTGTTACACTTCTAAGAGAGGCCTTTATTTTCTGGTTGAGTTCGGTGGCTCACCTTAATTGTTGAATAATGAAAGCAATATGTTAGCGATAGGTGTTTAATGTTTGCTTCGGTCATCCATTCTTATGTGAAATGCCATCTAGCTTGTCTGATCTCTGATCTTTCCTTCTCCTTCCTCTTACTCTTTTTTCTTCTTTGTATTCCCTCAGTCCTTTTCTTTATCTGTCACCACTTTGTTGCACTCTAGCTTTATATTTTCTATAGTTAACAGTCACCTAAGATTCAAATGTGAGTTTGAATCTTGTCCGCAGTCCTTTTTAGGTATGTAACTTTTCTATGAAACGTCTTTCTGGAAAATGAGGATAAAAAGCTTCATTGTAGAACTTTGTTTGAATTATAGACCATGTAGGTAAAGTACTTGTGATCTGCTATGTAGTAGGTACAATACTGATGGTAATGATAGAAGAAGTATACAACTACTATGGCTATTGCTACTTCCGCTACTAATAGTTTTAGTAATTTAGGTCTGGTGGTTATGATGATGTCCCAAACTGAGCCTCCTAGCACTGGCTTCCTTTCCTAGTCTAAACTTTTGAAATACTTTTTTTTTTGTTTGAAAGCCCTTTATTTTGTCTTTAAAAGTATTAACCTTTTTATTTATCTCAGAGTTATTACCCTTGCTCTTTTCAGTTAGTTCGTGACTGAATACAGCAACATTTTCTTAGCTGGTCTCTCATTTGACACTTTCTATTTTTTCTAATATATTCAGTATTCTTCTGCAAACTAATTATGCCATGTCTACCTATGGTATCAAATCTAAGCTCTGACCATTTGAATGTGGGAGTGGTCAGCAGCTATTCCAGTGATTGGGACAGGATCAAAAAGGATCTAACATTACAATGTGTAATGAGTTTACACTTGATTTCAACCCACTAGGAATACCTTCAAAGGGTTATCAGTGGGAGAAGATCAGTCTCCATGCAGTTTGGAGAATGGTTGGAGGATTCAGGGCAGGAGACTATTTATGAGACTGCTCAAGTAGTTTGGTGCTTCTTAATGTTTTTGTTTTGTGGTTACCACAGGGTTTGTGCCTGTTATACTTTTTTTCAAGAATTGTAAAGATTTTAACACACCTGTGGTTCTCTTTATATGTTGATTTAAAAAATGTTTAGTTTCTACATGTTACCTTAGACATTTGAAAGCCCTTGCATATAGATTTGACACATCTTAGTTACACTTGCGGAGAAGGCAATGGCACCCCACTCCGGTACTCTTGCCTGGAAAATCCCGTGGATGGAGGAGCCTGGTAGGCTGCGGTCCATGGGGTCGCTAAGAGTTGGACATGGCTGAGCGACTTCACTTTCACTTTTCACTTTCACGCACTGGAGAAGGAAATGGCAACCCACTCCAGTGTTCTTGCCTGGAGAATCCCAGGGACGGGGGAGCCTGGTGGGCTGCCGTCTGTGGGGTTGCACAGAGTCAGACACGACTGAAGTGACTTAGCAGTAGCAGTTACACTTGGGAATTTCCTAAGACATTTGAGCAAGCTTCCAGGAGTTGGTGATGGACTGGGAGGCCTGGCATGCTGCAATCCATGGGGTCTCAAAATAGTTGGATGCAACTGAACTGAAGACATTTGAAGGGCTTTCCAGGTGGCACTAGTGGTAAAGAACCTGCCTGTCAATACAGGAGACAATGCAGGAGACGTAAGAGACACAGGCTTGATTCTTGGCTTGGGAAGATCTCCTGGAGAAGGAAATGGCAACCCACTCCAGTATTCTTGCTTGGAGAATCCCATGGACAGAGGAGTCTGGCAGGCCACAGTCCCTAGGGTCACAAAGAGTTGGACATGACTGAGGCAACCTAGCACACACAAGCCCTTTGAAAAGGGAGTCGGCTCTGAATTGAGTTAGCCATAATGAGCAAAACTCAGGCCCAGGAGTAATTCACTAGCTTTCTGACCCTTGAAAAGTTTTCAGAGTGAAGCCAATTGTTTCCATGTCATTTGATCCCCATTGACATTAGAGTAGATAGCATGAAGGATACTCTGCTAGGTGCTGCAGTTACAAAAACATACAGTATAGACGTGGTTCCTCTTTTGAGCCTTATGACTTATTTGGAAAAGCACGACTGGTATATAAAAAGAAATAAAGTGATTTTGTGAGGTGGTAAGTGAGCAGTATGTGAGTGTTACTGTGCCTAAAGTTGTTAGAAAAGTTTTCATGGAGGAAGTAAGACTTGAGCTGTATATCCTAAAAGACTTTATAACTGGAAAAAGCAGAGAGGCTGACATTTTAAACAGAAGACCATTGGGAACTGCAAATGCATTGCTGTCTTTCAGGGGATAATGTGCAAATCTTATATAGGCTAGAAGATATTCAGAGAGTGGTAAGTAAATGTGAGTCAGGTTTGGAGAAATGAATTAGAACTTTGAGATAATGGCTTTGAAAGCAGTGATGAATCAGCAGTTTGGCTCAATAATCACAAATGATCACTTATTTGCCTAATGCCTTTCAAGCTCTCCGCTGTAGCATTTTCTAAGTGTCCATAATTAATCATGAGATATTTGGCAAGTTACTTAAATACTCTTATCCTTAGTTTCCTTGTCTGTATAAATGATGAAATAAATAGCTCTCAAACTTGTGGTTAAATGACAAAATGCTCAGCCTAGTGCTTGGTAAATAATAGGCATTCTGTAAAAGTTTATCTACCTTCTCTCAAGATCCTTAATCTTTTCTTTCTATCTCCAGCTGCTTGACTGTCTTAGCTCATAAAAGTTTCAAAGGTTTTATGTTTGTGTTTATATTAACACAGGTTTTATGATGTAAACACACGAGATAACACACTTTCTGTAAACATTGTTCATTAACAGTCAATGCCTTAGTTTACTTTTCATGATACTGTGAATAATAATCCTGGTTTAGTTCACTTCAGCTCAGTCAGTCAGTTGTGTCCAGCTCTTTGCAACCCCATGGACTGCAGCACGCCAGGCTTCCCTGTTCTTTACTATCTCCCAGATCTTTCTCAAACTCATGTCTGTTGAGTCGGTGATGCCATCTAACTATCTCATCCTCTGTTGTCCCCTTCTCCTCCTGCCTTCAGTCTTTCCCAGAATCAGGGTCTTTTCCAGTGAGAAGGCTCTTCTCAGCAGGTGGCCAGAGTATTGGAGCTTCAGCTTCAGCATCTAGTCCTTCCAGTGAATATTCAGGACTAATTTCCTTTAGGATGGACTGGTTTGACCTGCTTGCAATTCAAGGGCTCTTCAGAGTCTTCTCCAGCACCACAGTTTGAAAGCATCAATTCTTCAGCGCTCAGCCTTCTATATATCCAACTCTCACATCTATATGTGACTACTGGAAAAGCCATAGCTTTGACTAGATGGACCTTTGTCAGCAAAGCAATGTCTCTGTTCTTTAATACACTGTCTAGGTTTGTCAAGAGGCTTTTCTTCAAAGGAGCAAACATCTTTTAATTTTATGGCTATAGTCAGTGTCCACAGTGATTCTGGAGCCCAAGAAAATAAAGTCTGTCACTGTTTCCATTGTTTCCCCATCTGTTTGCCATGAAGTGATGAGACTGGATGCCATGAGATTAGTTTTTTTGAATGTTGAGTTTTAAGCCAGCTCTCTAGTTCCTCTTTGCCTTTTGCCATAAGGGTGGCGTCATCTGCATATCTGAGGTTATTGATATTTCTCCCGGCAGTCTTGATTCCAGCTTGTGCCTGGCATTTTGCATGATGTTAAATAAGCAGGGTGATAATATACAACCTTGATGTATTCCTTCTCCAATTTTGAGCCAGTCCATTTTCCATGTCCAGTTCTGTTGGTTAGTTGTCATTTATTAGATTGAGCCTATGGAATTGCCAATATGTGACTGTTACATATAAAAATGATAATTTCATGTGATTAAACCTAATCTAACTTATGACTATAGCTGGTATAGCAGTAGACAGTTAAAATGCATACTTAGATTTTTTTTTTCCCCCTTCATTTTGTTTTTAAGATCCAGATAATTTAAGTGACTCTCTCTTTTCTGGTGATGAAGAAAATGCTGGGACTGAGGAAATAAAGAATGAGGTAAATGGAAATTGGATTTCGGCATCTTCCATTAATGAAGCTAGGATTAATGCCAGGGCAAAAAGGCGGCTGCGGAAAAACTCATCCCGGGACTCCGGCAGAGGCGATTCTGTCAGTGATAATGGAAGTGAAGGCCTTAGATGTGGAGTAACTGCACCAACCAGTCCAAAGGGAAGGTTGCTGGATAGGCGATCCAGATCTGGGAAAGGACGGGGATTACCAAAGAAAGGTTGGTATATATTATATGCAAAGAAATAAAAGGAAAAGATGCTTTCTGATTCTCATACAACAATTTCTTATTCTAAGAATGAGAGGAATTTAAACAATGATGATGTAAGGCTTTATGGTTTGTATGTGTTTTTACATAGTAATAATCCAATGATTACCCCAAAAAGTTGAGCCTTTTCGCTTCTTTATTTAGGTTTAACTTTCTTAAGCAGAACTTTCTCATATTTCCAGCAAAATACACACCAGTGTTTTTCACAGTTATGAATTATGCATGTATTCTCTAATTCTGCTTGAAAGAAGTAGGGTCAGAAATTCATAATACCTATTATCTAATGAATCTCATTAATTATGTCTGTTGTTAAGAATATATGATAAATACAATTTGAGTGGTAATATCAGGGTCAGAATTTTAATAATTTTGTAGATCTGGTTCTAAGTTCTTTTTAGTTCTACTTATTTTGGGTACTGATATTGTTTTACTGCTGTATCTCCAGGGCCTGGAGTAGTGACTCACAAGAGTAGGTACTTACATAATTGTTGAATTGAGGGGTCTTGTTAGCCTCTGTGGTAGAATTTTGATGCAGTTTGGAGATTTCACTAGCTTCTAAATGGTGGAAGCATCAAATTATGGCCTAGAACTATTGTAAAGTTTTTGTGCCTTGTCAAAAATTGTTATTCTTGTTGGCTGGATCAGAATGAAACCTAACTACTAGATTTGTTTTTGCTCTGGTGGTAATAATTATACTCTGTATGTAAATACCCCAACCTCCCCAATGGGTGATAAAGTTCTTTTAAAATATTGCAATATATTGAGCCTTATAAAAACATTTCAATAAATTTATTTAGTAAAGCAGCTTTGAAAGTTGGAGTTGTTAAACTTCTGCTATCTATTTGTTGGTAAATAGAAATGATCAGTTCGGTTAATGCTTAAATAGAAGTCAGTTATTTGTAATATATTTCTGGCTGTAAAGTGTTTGTTTCTGGTGGGCTCAGGGTTGCAGTCAGACATGACTGAGCACACACATGCACGTCTAAAGGAATTTGACTTTACGACATTTGATGGTGGCCACTAATACTCCTTTGTTGAATAATTTCTCCCTTGTTGAGTTTTCTATGTCCTCTCTTAACTGAATCAGCATATTTCTTTTTGTTGCTCCCAAGAAATGTCAGAATTTAGAGCCCAGTTGTTACCAGCTGCCTTGAGGTTACCACTACAGCTATTTTTCTGTTTTTTTTTTTTAATGGTTTGTTTTTTACTTTTATTTTAAAACATCTGCCTTTTTAGTTTTAACTTTGTGAGCTATTTCAACTTGGTTTTTTGGAACTAGGTTATAAATATATCTAATCACTACTGAAAAAGCAGTGATCTGAATAAAAAGTTTACTGTATAATTCTCAACTGGGAAAAAAATTAGCATAAAAATTAAAATACAGTTTTTTAACTGCCAATTAACACCTGAACATATAGAACTATTTCAGATTTCAGTTAAAATTTATGGACTGTGGACATTATGCTGTTTTCTTTCTCAATTCTAAACTTTTTCAGGTGGTGCTGGAGGCAAAGGTGTCTGGGGCACACCTGGACAAGTATATGATGTGGAGGAGGTAGATGTGAAAGATCCTAACTATGATGATGACCAGGTATAAGTGTGATACTTTTTGTGATATGTATTTAAAATACTTAACAAACTTTTTTGACCTCATGTTTGTAGCATACTCATATATTGATCAAATCATGTATTCTATATCTGTACTATTCATATATATATAATTTTATTTATGTGATTATCTGCAAGATTATATAATATGTATATAATGTGTATATATGCGTGTACACATGTCACACCCGTTTGTATATATATCTAAATCATACGTATATTCAGTACTTTCAGACTGTTAGGTTAATTTTGGATTAGGAAATCAAGTTAACTGAGTAATGTATGTGTAATTTTTATTTGGTTTTTGAATTTAATATTTGGACAGGGAAATATTTCTAAGAGAACATGAAAAAAAATGTGTTAAAACCAGTAGGATTCAAGTACTATAAAATCTTTGCTAAATATTCTGATTTTAATGTATAAACTTGAAAGTATTTGTTGTTAGATGAAGCCAGTCACATTTTGCAGGCAAACACTTCAGGACTTTTTTTGCAGAGGACAGGGATAGATTATTGGACTTCTTATTTGTTTTGAAATTTCAGTTGAATAGTGCTTTTTCTTAGAGATTTTCTGGAGTCATGAAGGCTTTTATTTGTAGTACTAATAAAGGCTTTGGTTCCTGCTGTTTTTTTTTTTTAATGACATTTTAATGAAAATACTGGATGTGATAGGAAGCCATCTTAAAGTTTTTTGGTCACTGAAGTATTATTGGTTTTGTGGGAGAGAAAAAATAAACAGAAGCTATGGGGGATCAGGAGCAAGTCATATATTTGCTGTGGTTAGTGGTTCTGATCTATATTTTGATTTATTATATTCCGATTTTATAAAAGAACAGTGACATAAATTTCTGTTTTTATATTATGTAAGTGGTCAAAGCATGTAGCATGTTTTTTTCTTGTCCCAAATAGGTATTACTAAGCAGTTGTAGTACAGAATTATGAAACAATTTCAGTTTATATGAATATTTTGTTCTTTAATTTATAACACTCTGCCTCGTCCCTTTCCAGGAGAACTGTGTTTATGAAACTGTAGTTTTGCCTTTGGATGAAATGGCATTTGAAAAGACTCTGACACCAATTATACAGGAATATTTTGAGCATGGAGATACTAATGAAGTTGCGGTAGGTTTAAAGTTGCAAGTGTAACTTTTTTAATACAGGAGAACAAACACTGTTAAAAGCAAAACATCATATCCAGGATGATTTTGGATCACTGGAAAAGACTAAGCATTTTTTTATACATAAATGAAGTTTTAACTAAGGAATGGAATAAAATTTTATTTACCATTCTTAACCTATTTGGGATCTGATGAGGACTATGTGCCATTTCCTTCTCTGAAAAACGGTATAGCACAATATTTTAATAATTGTAATTGTAACATTTCCATAATTGATAGTATTTAAAATATAACTTTAACAATTTCAAGGTGTTTATGGACCTTCTAAAACCTCCTCAGGGATATCAGTTAAAATACTTCAGTTTCACTTTCTTTGATATTCATTTCAATGCTTAGGATTAGAATAAAATTTATCCTTGTACTCTGTCCAAAAATGAACACAAATGTAAATAAAGATAGAAATCAAGAGAACAAACGTGTTTTTGAAGCATAATTTGCATGAGGACATTTGCTGTGTTATGAATTGTTCATAAAGTAAATCTCGAAAGGTAAAATTATCGCTCTCGTTTAGTAGTTTAGTATTATTGACTTAAGTAATAAAATTGTATCTCTGTAGAAGACTTTTAATTTAGATTCTTTTAATTCAGACGGGTCTTTCTTAGTTTGTCTCATGAGGTTTGATAGCTTTGCATTTTTGTAGGATTTGAATATAAAAACAAATATTTGCTCAGTGGATACCATGTGGAGGTATTTATAATGGTGATTCCTGCCTTTTTGAAGCTCAGTCAAGTGAAGGAAATGATACATGCACGGATTATTAAAATATAATATGAAACATTCTGTTATAGAGGAAAACTTTACCAAAGTCCCATGAGGGTGGGGACTTGAAATCTTGTTACCTACCTAGCATGGGACCAGTGGTATACTCAGTTTATTAACTGAGTAGTACTGTGAGGTGAGTGTTATGGAAGCATAAGATGGAGGCTGATAGATTATCCTGAACCATCTGAGAATGGTTAGGAGTTTGCCAGGCTAAGATGGTTGAAGCGAGTTTTCCAGGAAGGAGTAGTCCTAGAAGGAGTTTTCCAGGAAGGAGTATCATGTTTAAAGTCAATGAGTTGATCAAGTGCAGCCCAGGAAGATGAAATGGAGTGGGCAGAGACTATTAACAAGGACACCAGTTAGGTCCCTTAGAGTAAGTATCAGTAACTAATTGGTTACTCTGAGTAACCTAACTGGTGTCTTTCTAATTAGTCATCACTCTATGTAACTGAGTTACAACTTAGCTTCTTTGGTCATACTGACTATATTCTACTTCCTAGTTTGTCACTCCTCTGGGAATCTTTAGCAAATACTTCATTTTTCTGTGCTTTGGAAATACCTCCCTCAAAGAGTTGTTTTGCATTAAGTAATGAAAACTTATTCCCCAAAATATGACTGCTTCTCTGATTATTTCAAAACAAGGAGAGAGGAAATATGGATAAAGTTTTGATTTTTTTTCCAAAATAAAATTAAACTATAGGCAGTGACATAATTTTTTTTTTTTTTTTTTGAGTAGGAAATGCTAAGAGATTTAAATCTTGGAGAAATGAAAAGTGGAGTACCAGTGTTGGCAGTGTCCTTAGCGCTGGAGGGAAAAGCCAGTCACAGAGAAATGACATCTAAGCTTCTTTCTGATCTTTGTGGGACAGTAATGAGCACAAATGATGTAGAAAAATCATTTGATAAATTGTTGAAAGACCTACCTGAATTAGCACTGGATACTCCTAGAGCACCGCAGGTTTGTAAAATTCTTCTTTGTGTTCATTCTCCTTTTTGTTCATTCTCTGTCTGCTTTGCTTACAATTATAGAACTAATACCTGCTCCTAGGAAATTTTATTAGTTGAAAGAGGGAAAAATTGGCCCATATTCCCTATCACACGATAGTGCTCTAATATTTTAGTGTAATTTTCCCTAGCTCTTTCCACTCCCCCAGTGTAGTTCTCATCACACTATAATTTTATATCCTACTTTCTCCACCATGGTCTCTGTAGTTTTTTGGTCATTTTTTTTTTGCTATCTGTATATTCTTTATTACATGTAGTTGAGCTGTTTCATGACCTAGGATCTTTTAAAAATGTAGATTGTTATAATTGAGGATTGAGTTTGCTTCACTAATGTTATGAAAATAATCATAAATAAGATTGTTCCCTTTTATAGCTTTGTAGGGAGATAATTAGAAAATTCATGACTTATGTATGCTTTTGTTTAGATTCTGTCCTCAAAGCCTTTTACTTTTATTAGATTTAATACATGCTGACACTATAATATGACTTTCTGGTTTGAAATTGAAAACGTGTGAAATTGTTGCTATTTACCTGACCAAAGTTTTAAAGCAAGGTAGGAGCACTTTACTTAAACATTAATTTAGGACTAGAGTATAGGTAGGTTAACCTAAATGCTGTTTCTGTTGGTTTTCCTATGACAGACAGTAAGTCTGTGTTAGTATTTAACTGTGATTCAAACATGAGCTTTTTTTTTATACCAGTACCAATACTTAAAAAAAGAAACTGTACACAATAGTCATTATAGAAATTTTGAAAAATAAGGAAAAGCCAAAAGAAAGAAAGGCGAGCAAAAATAGCCACTGTTAACTGTTAGCATTTTGGTATTAAATCTTCCATTCTACTTTTTGTGGATATATGTCAGTGTACAATTTTTATATATCCTTACCTTTTTTGTTTTAATAAAAAGTGGAATCATGGTGTATATGCTACTTTGTAAACTTGATTTTTCTTACACTTATAAAAATGCGGTAAACATATTTGTCCATATAGTGTACCCATCTTACATATATACCATTTAACCACATGATTATTGTTAGACACTCAGTTTCCAGTGTTATTTCATAAGAAATAATGCTGTGAACATACTTTCAGGTAAATATTTACACACGTTTACCCCCTCAGATAAACTCTTTTATTCAAACAGGTTTTTGAGAGACCATAGTCCAAGTTTTTTTTCCCCCCAGAAGAGTGGTTTCTCTTGACTGTTAAGTCATTGACTTAGCAAATACTTTTGATCATGTACGCTATGCTTCAGGCAGTGTGCAAGTGTGGGGATTCAGTAGTGAGGAAAAGATGTTTTGTGCCTCACAGCACTTAAATTGAAGGTTTAAGATGTGGGGAGTGTATGCCAAGCATAATTAGTAGGTGCTAAATTATGTTTTCTGAATATTCCAGCATGTCTTAGGTATTGACTGTGTAGTTCAACCAGTTTTCATCATTTATGTATTTAGAAACTGTGTCCTATAAAAGTTTTAGATATTTTATATGGTTCTTTTTTTTTTCCTTATTATAGTTGGTGGGCCAGTTTATTGCTAGAGCTGTTGGAGATGGAATATTATGTAATACCTATATTGATAGTTACAAAGGAACTGTAGATTGTGTACAAGCTAGGTAAGTAAATTAATTTCTCTACTTAGAACTTTCAAAATAGGGGAAAATTCTGCAGGATTCTGTTGAAATGACACTTGAATTAATCAGACATTGTGGGTATCTGTCGTTTGTGTAATTAAAATTGAGAGTTTCTTGATACAGTAGAACAGAAAGAAGACAGTATTATAACGCAGAAGTTCTGCATTATATACTTCTGCAAATATATTATATACAGGGTTTTAGCTAAACTATTACCTACCTTTATGTCACGCCACTTTTCTTTCTGCCTCAATTTCCTTATTTATAAAATGAAAGGCTAGGACTTAGAATGTTCTTTAAGGTCCCTTCAGGTTTTAATATTCTGTAATTATTTAATCTTCTAATAAGATGGACAACATTAACAAAAGAGTGTATTTTTAATTTTATATTTACTTGCTATGGAAATCTTAGGAAATAATGTTTCTCACTTTTGTTCTTTAGCATAACTATAAGCTAAATGTGTTATTTGGGAATTATGCTCTATAATTTTTCATAACTTCCTAGAATTTAGATTTGGACTTAGCCATGTCTTAGGTTTTCATAGGTATAGATACTAATTTTCTGGAACTATTTCAGGTCATAGTGTAACGGTTGCCTTGGTGGGAAAGTACGAATATATACAAAAGTTCATTTTAGGTGAAATGTTTCTTCTCAGTGTAGATCAATTATTTTGTAATAACATTAGAGTTCTGTTGACTGGGAAATGGAAATAAGTGTGTGAGAGAATATTAATATGAGAAGCAACCTTTTTTCCCCCCAGCTTTTTATCTTGAAAAATATTTTTTTAAGAGATTTCTTAACTTTAGGTTGCTTTTATGTTATAATGCAAAAGCTTTTAGTGTATATAGGCCTACCCCCTCTTCCCTGGACTTTATCCATAATTTGGTGAATCTTAAGCATGTTCGTGTGTCAAAATTAACTGTTTTTTGTTTGTTTTTGTAGAGCTGCTCTGGACAAGGCTACTGTGCTCCTGAGTATGTCTAAAGGTGGAAAGCGCAAAGACAGTGTTTGGGGCTCTGGAGGTGGGCAGCAGTCTGTTAATCACCTGGTTAAAGAGGTAACTATAGGGTATTGTCTTTAATTTATATGTATTCTTTAGGGAAATAAACATGCCCTCTAGCTGGTGTTTTATGGACAAAAATTAAGTTCAGTCTTGCAAGTGAAAAATTGAATAATCCTTATATATATGGCTTTATGCCCTTTTGCTATAAATTATACCATGATCATATAATCATTATTAAATTTTTACTGTTTCCCTGACTTAAAAATAAGACTGTGTTAAGTTAAAGTGACTTTCATGAAGAAAGCTATGAAGGAACCTTAGCAGAATACCTGAAGTCTTTTTTCTTGGTATTTAAAAACTTTCAAACCATTGAAGTAAGAGTTTCTATATTGTAGTTAATCACTAAATGTCCATTTTTATAACTGCAGTTTGAAACTGGATGATCTCAGATTATGTTATGCATTATGAACACTAGGTAGAATTTTTGTAAGGAAGTTCACTACTTGTGAGAGTTGGACCATAAAGGTGGCTGAGCGCTGAAGAATTGATGCTTTTGAACTCTGTTGAAGAAGACTCTTTAGAGACCCTTGGACTACATGGAGATTAAACCAGTCAATCCTAAAGGAAATCAACCCTGAACATTCATTGGAAGGACTGAAGCTGAGGCTCCAATACTTTGGTCACCTGATCTGAAGAGCCAACTCATTAAAAAAGACCCTGATGCTGGGAAAGATTGAAGGCAGGAGAAGAAAGGGATGAGAGAGGACAAGGTGGTTGGATGGCATCACTGACTCAATGGACATGAGTTTAAGCAAGCTCTGGGAGATAGTGAAGGACAGGGAAGCCTGGTGTGCTGCAGTCCATGGAGTCGCAAAGAGTCAGACATGACTGAATGGCAACAAATGCATACTTTAAAAGAAAAAGTAATTGCTTTTTGCATTAATACCATTACTGTCTATGGATTTTTTTTCTGGCAGCAAAATGATATTCTATATTAAGAAACCAAAAATGTGTTTTACTCTTCTTCTTTGAGGATTTTTAAGAAAATTAGAAGATTTATATAGTACATGTGCTTCTGATTTTTGAGTGTAGTCTTTTCATGTGAAAGAAGTAACCTATCTATATTCCCAGATGACATAATCTGTATACAGAAAATCCAAGTGAATCCTCAAAAAAAACAAAAATACCAAACTGTTATAAAAGAATTCACCGTGGTTGTAGGATATAAGATCTGCATACAGAGTTTAATTGTAGATTTTCTGTATGCTAGCAATGAATGATTTGAAATGAAATTAAACAATTGCATTTATAATAGCATAAAAATTAAATATAAAGGAATAAATTTAATAAAAGAAGTGCAAGTCTTCTGCACTAAAAATGATAAAACACTCTTGAAAGAAATAAGGCTTAAATAGAAAAATATCCCATATTTATGGACTGAAAGACAACATTGCTAGGATGATAATGCTTATCATAGTATTTTGAGAAACTGCCAAACTAATGGTATGTGAATTATCTCAACAAAAATTAGTCAACATAAAAACTGAAATATAACTACCAATATGAGTTTGAGGTTGACAAAATTTGGATATTCACTTATTTTATATGGAAGGATGAGTTGGACAGAGAGGACTTTTAGAAATATATACATGTATTTATCATTCTCAAAAATGCATGGAACCAAATGGGAAACATTTAAATACTTTATATAACAAAGTTAAAAGTTCCACACTTTAAATATTTATTTTCCTAGAGCATAATAGGAACTATTCATCAATCTGTATTCTGTTGATCAGGTTTTATTTTTTACAGAAATATGTTGTAGAATTTGAAAGTAGAAGATGTGTAAATAAGATTATTTTTTTCAGTCAGCTAACATTCATTTGAATGCCTGCTAGGTGAAAAGATGATTTCAACACGCATTGTATAGGGGAGAACATTCCTAGTTGAAGTTCTTGTGCTGCAAAACTTTATCTTCTGTTTTTCTGGAGCTGTAGATATTCTTGTGTGACTTTAAACAGAGTCAGGACTTGTCCTCCTTAGCCGTAACTGGAAGCTGAATTGCTAATGAACGTTTTAAATAATGGGCCTCAAATTTTCAGTTTTAGAGGAAAGAGAACAGTATTTAGAGTATCTTTGCTCTGTCTAGTAAAGCCCTATTATCTCTCATTTTTTGGCTGCCATTGCAATATTAAGATCATCCTGGTGGAAATAAGTTTGTGCCACTTTAAAGTCATTTTGAGACTTCAGTTAGTGCCCTCTAGTGGTATTTAAAGTGACTTCTTTTTTTTACAGGGAGCATTGAAGTATTATGTTCACAGCTCAGGCCATACACGTCTACTCGTCAGTCTCAGTGATTATCAAAGCACACCAGAACACTGCATTATTCCCTTTATGATTTGCTTTTCAGTTGCGAAAAAATTCTGTTATGTCAAGACTACTAGACAACTGTTTGTGACCTATTTATTTATCATGTAATATATTGAGATGAGGGTAAATAAATCCTTCAGGCAAAGTAGAATTTTTCAAAAATCAAGAACTAACACATCTCAATTCTTAAATCTGATAGATTGATATGCTGCTGAAAGAGTATTTACTCTCTGGAGACATGTCTGAAGCTGAACATTGCCTTAAGGAACTGGAAGTACCTCATTTTCACCATGAGCTTGTATATGAAGTAAGATTACTTTGACATTCCAAGGAGAATTATTGTGTTCCTTTTTGTACCACAGAGACTTAATGCTTCTTTAATAATGCACAAAAAAACCTACAATTTATGGGAGAGTTTTATAATTTTTAATGATTATGGTTACATATTAGAGAAAAGAGATCTAACAGATTTTAGGAGCAGTTTCTTATAGAAAATGAGCAATAATTCAATCATTCATTCAATTTTTAGGCCATTGTAATGGTTTTAGAGTCAACTGGAGAAAGTACATTTAAGATGATTTTGGATTTATTAAAATCTCTTTGGAAATCTTCCACCATTACTCTAGACCAAATGAAAAGAGTAAGTATAACATTTTGAACCATGTTTAGGCTGGTATCTTAAATTTTGTATGCTTGAATACAGACTATGAAGTGTCAATGAAACTTTCTGGTTTATTTAGTAATGTTATGCCTTTTTCCATATTTTTTAACAGTACTGTTTATGTCTGAACCTCTTATAGCCATTTCCTGGGAAGTAGTAAATATGTCAGCCTTTTTTTAATCTAAATTTTAAAAAATATGTGTGTGTGTATGTTCTTCCTCAAGAGTTCTAAGATATGGTCATTTGTTTATATCTAGAGAGACAAACTTTTAACAGAAGTACTTGGTTTATTCCTATTTTATTGTATGCATTGTTATTAAAATGTTGGTGAGGTTCTTATTTGCCTTTTATTTTTTTTAAATGTAGTAAATGTATTATAGTAGATAGAGAAATATATCCAATGTCCATTGTCTGCCGAAAGCTCTTTTGAGAGAACAGTTGTAAATATTCTGTTAACAAATGTACTTAACTCTTTGTACTTTTCTATTTTTTTTTTGTACTTTTCAAGGTTCAGATCTGACTTCAGTCTAATTAATATGAACACTTGGACTTAAATATAGCTTGATAACAGTGATGGGTTATATGCATTATGTATTTTATATGAGCTAACAATTCTGTGTATAATTTCATTGTTCCAGGGTTATGAGAGAATTTACAATGAAATTCCGGACATTAATCTGGATGTCCCACATTCATACTCTGTGCTTGAGCGATTTGTAGAAGATTGTTTTCAGGCTGGAATAATTTCCAAACAACTCCGAGATCTTTGTCCTTCAAGGTACTTTATTACTTTCTCAACATCAAATACTGACTGAGGTGCTTAAGAAGGTTAAGCTAATTTTCTGTCATTCTGTCTGTCTGAAAAATAATAGTATCTTCCCTCTAGTCACCCATGAGTGGAAAATCATCTGAATCTATGGAGAAGCAAGTGTGAAGCTTATTTTGTTCTCTTGTAAATTTGTACAGGACTATCTCATGAAGCCCCATTTACTGGAAAGAAGCTAATTTTGTGGAACAAAATGTGTGTCTTAGACTCACATAGTAGTTTAAATATTTAAATATATAATATTAAATATTATTTCAGGGTAGATATTACCAGTAAGATGAAAAAATTGAGGCTTATGACAGTGTAATGTACCTTTTCTAAGGTTATACATAGTAGAAGCCAAGGATGGATCCAGACTTTTTCTGCCTTTAAAGGTCTATGCTCATTCCTATTCTGTATGTAGGTTCCTTTTGATCCTTCACAGAATGGAGAATTGGGGCTGATTGCATTTTATTTCTCTAGAAAGTGTGTGTGTGTGATTCTTTGGAGGTATATGTGCTACTAGGATCACACTCTTTAGGAGTTGATGGATTTTTTGTTATTGTTAAAGCTTAAATTTATATTGTAATAGACCTAAGTTTAGTAACAGCTAAACTTCTTGTTTGGGCTTCCCAAGTGGTTCAGTGGTAAAGAATCTGCCTGCAATGCAGGAGATGCAGGTTCGATCCTTGGTCGGGAACATCCCCTGGAGAAGGGGATGGCTACTCACTCCAGTATTCTTGCCTGGGATATCCCATGGACAGAGGAATCTGGGAGGGTACAGTCCATGGGGTTGCAAGAGTCAGACATAAAGCGACTGAAACAAAGAAAAAACTTTTTGTGTGGGTCTCCTTTATGTATATTTTAAATTTGTGTAATTTTTTTCTGAAGAAATTTCAAACTTTGCATATTTTTATGTAAGTGCCTTGTGAGAAATCTCAAAAAAATACTTGAGTGTCCTTTGCTTACAAAGTTCAGAAACAATTAAGAGAGAAGGAAAAGATAATGGTGGAGAAACATTTTAATGGCTTTGATAAAAATGTCTGAAAATGTATATTTCTACTTGGTGATGACAGTATTTATGTATTATGTGCCAAGTGGTGTACCTCAGTATAAACTGTCAACTTCGGCAAAGCTTTTTGCTACTTGCTGCTTCATTTTCACCCTTGATCTCCTAATATTATAGTATGAAGCCTTTATATGCAGGAAAATATAGCTGTAATACATACCCCTTTCATAAATACCCCTTAATATGAAAAGGAGTCAACACTTTGGCACTGTCCTTTGGCGGCTCAGACGGTAAAGTGTCTGCCTGCAATGCAGGAGACCCAGGTTCGATCTCTGGGTTGGGAAGATCCCCTGGAGAGGGAAATGGCAACCGACTCCAGTACTGTTGCCTGGAAAATCCCATGGACAGAGGAGCGTGGTAGGCTACAGTCCATGGGGTCACAAAGAGTTGGACACAACTGAGTGACTTCACTGTCACTTTTTTTAAAGTTTTTCAGTCTCTATTCAAAAGTCTTAACTAATGATTTCTATTATGGCTTTACTTTCAAGGATCATTTGGAGAGATGTCTAAACTTTCTGTGAATTCCATACAACTTTAACTTTTTATCCTCTGTTTTTTTGCTTATTTGGGCAAAGTGCACATTTGTGTGTGACCCTGAATGCCCGTGCATATTGGTCTAGGGTCTGAGAAGAAATAAGAACCAATTCTGCCCAAGCTATGTTGAGCACTTACTGCTTTCAGCTTCTGTGACTGTTCCTTTTGAGCTGTTGTTACTACATTTAGCTAATTGTGTGATTACATATTATAGAGGAAGGCATCTTGAGTTTGAAATGGCAGAAAGTTCAAAATGGGGTATATATAGGAATTAAATGGACTCTGTTTTTCCACATTCAGGTTATGGCTTTTCTGTATCTGAGAAAAAATTAAAAACCATTTAAAAACAAGATATTTTGATAGGTTCTGTAGCTGTAGTTCTCATAGTTCTCAATCATGTTAGTGTTCCATTTGGTTCAATGTTTAGCTTTCAAATAATATTAATAACATAGTAGAAATAAATATAGGCATGTCTCATTTTATTGTGCTTTGCAGATACTGTTTTTTTTTTTTAAAAACAAAAGTTTGTGACAACTCTGCATTGACAAGTCTGTTGGTGCCATTTTCCTAAACAGCATTTGCTCACTTTATGTCTGTGTGTCACAGGTTGGTAGTTCTCAGAGTATTTTAACCCTCAACTTGCAAAAAGATTAGACTTGTTAAAAGTTTGGATGATGGTTAGCGTTTTTCCTCAATAAAGTATTTTTAAATTATTGTATGTACATTGGGTTTTTAGACATAAGTGTAGGCCACAGTATTATATAAACATTATATGCAGTGGGAAACCAAAAAATTCATGTGATTCGCTTTATTGTGACCTTCTGGAACCAAACCCACAATAATTTTGATGTGTGTTTTTATTAAATTTCCAAACAGCAAAATGTTTGCCATATTTGTATTTTTTTTCTTACATGACTTCATTTGGCCAATGAACTTATTTCAATAATTAAGCTTTTGTTTTAACTAAAAAATGCTCAGATTAAGTAATTCATTTGGTATGTTCTAGGATATGTAACCGGTAAGGTCTCTCAAAAGACTTGGGCATGCTGACATTTTAAAATTTAAATGACAAACTCTTCAAAAGTTAATGACAAAGATGCAGTTTTTAATTATTTTAATTGACTATAGTCAAAATTTGTATCTGTTTACATGTTTTTTTTCTTTTCATTACAGGGGTAGAAAACGTTTTGTAAGTGAAGGAGATGGAGGTCGTCTTAAACCAGAGAGCTACTGAATATGTGAACTCTTGCAGTCTTAGATGTTATAAAAAATATATATATCTGAATTGTAAGAGTTGTTAGCACAGTTTTTTTTTTTTTTTAAAGCACTTGTTTTGGGTACAAGGCATGTCTGAAATTTTGTAAACTTACATTTAAGGGAAATTTTTAAAGGAAGTTTTTTTTTTTTCTTTTTCTTTCTCTCTTTTTTTTTTTTTTAAATTTGAGGGTGTAAAGGAGGGACAGAAAAGTAACCACTTCTTAAGTGGGATATTCTCATAAGCTACCTTTTGTAAGTGCCATGTTTATGACCTAATCATTCCAAGTTTTGCATTGATGTCTGACTGCCACTCCTTTCTTTCAAGGACAGTGTTTTTGTAGTAAAATCACTGGTTTATACAAAGCTTTATTTAGGGGGTCAAGTTAAGCTGCTAAAACCCCATGTTGGCTGCTGCTGTTGAAATACTGTGCTTTGGGAGTTAAAAAAAAAGAAAGAAAAGTTATTTCTTTGTTTTAAAGAATTTTTAAAAAATGAGCTAGTTGTGAGACTTATTCATCTTTCCAGGGAACATATTGCTTGGTCTTAAAGACTAGACAGTTAAGTAAATGGTGGCTGGAACATCTTATTTTTCTACAAAACTGGAAAAATGAACCCAGTTCTAGAAGAATGTATGACAAAATAAAACATGTGAAGCAGTGTTGATTCTTTATTTGGAGTGCATTTATTTTAGATCTTTTAAAAAACTTATTTCCCACAGCAAATTTTAAATCATATAAAAGCATATTTGAACCTAGTTAATTTAAACTTTGCTCTTGGCAAACTTTTAAAACGAGTACAGTAGTAAATAATTTTACTATTATACTTGGGAAATACTTGCACACTTCCTTGTTTTTGATCTAGAACTTAATGAAATTTCTAAACATATATACCTTTCATCATTAAGTTCTATTACCAACTAATGCTTGTGTTATAAAATATTATTCTTCAAAGACTCAAAGTTTTACATTTAGTCAGTGTATGAGAAAATAGTAGTTACTGATAAACAGTTATCTAAAGGAAGATCACATTTCTAACCTCTTTTGCAGAGCCTAATTACTCAGCAAGGCTTCAAGGTCCATACTAATTTAAATTGTCTATTACCAACTGCAGCAAACCAACCAAGAATTATATTCAGAATTTACAAAGGTATTCCTAGGAACATACCCATTACAGGTCTAGCTACAGTCTTTTAGAAATAAAACTTCCAAATTTACATTCATTTTATTTCATGGGCTCTTTCAAGTCCTTATTAATTTCCATTTTTAGGGTTTTGATTATGTTTTGATACCTGGAAGACAAAGGTGGCAAGGTAAGTCCTTACAGTATAATTAAAAAGCTTAGTTCAGTTTTTAAAACCATGTACAGGATGACTATAAAAGTTGTATTTACTCACTGTGCCTAACTAAGAATGTCATCTAGAAAACTGATAGGAATGGTAACAGTAATTTGTAGTTTGAAAAACTTGGGTTAAAAATAAAACAAAATCTGGTCTCAGAGTTTTAAAATTGCTTATATTCAATACAAACCAGTGTTTAAATTCACAATCCAAATTTTAGTAATTGAGTTTTTTTATAGGATACTATCTGTTTTATTAATACATACTGTTTTCAGCATATAGATGCAGATTATTTTCAGCTCTTGTTAATAGAAAGGTGTAGGGTGTTCTGTAGAAGTGCTAGTTATCATTCAGTGAGTTACTTGCCGTTGTTCAGTGAGTTTTCTGTTGTTCCTTTTCTGTCATTTCCTGTTGGCGAATTGTATCCTGTGCTGTTTGCTGTATTTTCTCCAGTTTTGGCACAGTCATAAATCTTAATGGTAAAAGTACGGGTTTACATAGCACCATTGTGGGTATATCTTCTACATACAACTGCCCTAAGTATAAAAAGAAATAAAAATCAGAGTGAGATAAACACAGCTGTTTGGTAGTTTGGATTTGCAGTTAAAAAATTTAATACATTGTCATTTAATTGTTCTTATAGTTATCCTTGTAACACATCTTTAATATAAAAATATAAAAGCAAAATTTAATACTAGAAAGTTCATGAGAAAGGTTTTGAATTTTCTACCTAAAATTGTAAGTTGCCATGGGACATAACTTCTTGTGTCAGATGTTGAATTTCAAAAAAAAGAAAGAATTGACGGAAATACAATATACATAAAAATACTTATAAGAGGAGGACAAGATGGCAGGGTAGAAGCCCACCAGAGTCACAACTGAATGCTGAACCACCATCAATAAAAAAGATGCAAACCTACCAAAAAAGATACTCTGTTGATACATCCAAAGGCATGAAGAAACCCAAGGAGATGGTAGGAAGGGCACACTCACAATATAATCAAATCCCATACCCCCCAGGTGGGTGACCCACAAACTGGAGAACAATTATATTGCGGAAGTTCTCCCATAGAACTTGAATCCCACATCAGGCTCCCCAGCCTGGGGGTCTGGCATCAGGAGGAAGAGCCCCCCCAGATCACTTGGCCTTGTAGTCCAGCGGGGAGTGTCACAGGACTGGGGGAAACAGCAGCTCCTCTCCTGGAGGACACACACACGGACTTGGGTGCACTGGGACCCAAGGCAAAAGTGCAGTGGCTTCACAGGATCCTGGGTCAGACCTGCTGGTCTTAAGAGGGTCTGCTGGGGAGGTGTGGGGTGACTGTGGCTCACTGTGAGGACAAGGACACTGGTAGTGGAGACACTAGAGAACAGTCATTGGCATGAGCTCTCCTAGAGGCTGCCATTTGGCACCAAGACCTGATGCCACCCAAGAGCCTGTAGGCTCCAGTGCTGGAACTCCTGAGGCTAAACAACAAAGCAGGAACACCCCCTCCCTGCCATCAGACTGCGAAAAGACCCTGAGCCCACAGCCACCTCTAGTCACACCCCTTGGTACGGCATGACCACTGCCCGTCAGAGAACCAAGCCTGAGCTCTAGCCGACAGTGGGCAAGCACAGGCCCCTTCCACCCGGAAGCCTGTACAAGCCTCTGGACCAGGCTCAACCACCAGGGGGTAGAATCCAGAAGCAAGAACACTAGCATTCAGCAGCCTGGGAACTGAATTCACAAACAGATCAGAACCTTCCCTGGGACTAGTTGGTCCCTGGACTGCTGGGTGAGAGTGTAAGGCTGGGAGATATACGGCATCCCCTACAGAGGGTCACTTCTCCAAGGTCAAGGAACATACGTAACCTTCTGTATACACAGAAATTAAGAGAAAATGAGACAGCAGAGGAATACATTTCCTAGAGTAATGGAAATAACAAAAATACATAAATGGGACCTAAAGCTTTTGCACAGCAAAGGAAACCGTAAAAGGACAACCTACAGAATGGGAAAAATGTTTACAAATGATGTGACTAACAAGTGATTAATTTTCAAAATCTACAAATAGTTAATACAGCTCAAAATAAAAACCCAATCAAAAAATGGGCAGAAGATCTAAATAGACATTGCTCTAAAAAAAGATGGCCAAAAGACACATGAAAAGAAGCTAATCCGAGAAATGCAAATCAAAACTACAACGGGGTATCACCTCCCACCAATCAGAATGGCCATCATCAAAAAATCTACAAATAAAAGCTGAAGAGGGTGTGGAGAAAAGAGAACCCTCCTACACTGTTGAAAGTGAAAATCGCTCAGTAGTGTCTATACAGTCCATGGAATTCTCCAAGCCAGGAGACTGGGAGTACGTAGCCTTTCCCTTTTCCAGGGGATCTTTCCAATCCAGGGATGGAACCCAGGTCTCCCACATTGCAGGTGGATTCTTTACCAGCTGAGCCACCACGGAAGCAACTATACAAGTGTATAGCAAGTTTTACATACAAGTTATGCATACCTTCCCACCTACACTGTTGGTGGGAATGCAAATTTGTGCAGCCACTACGAGGACGGCATGGAGGTTCCTTAAGGAACTAAAAATAGTTGCCACATAGTTCTGCAATCCCACTCCTAGGCATGTGTCTGAAGCAAACCGCAGTTTGAAAAAAGGCAGGCACCCCAGTGTTCACTGCAACAGTATTTACAATAGCTAACACATGGAGGCAACCTAAATGTCCACTTACAAATGGATAAAGAAGATTGTGTGTGTGTGTGGAAATATTAACATGAAGAAGACTGAAATAATGCCATTTGCAGCAACATGGATGGACCTAGAGACTTCCATACTAAGAAGAGTAAGTCAGATAAAGATATCGTTTATATGTGGCATCTAAATATATATATATATACATATATGAATGAACTTTTAAATATAGAACAGAAACAGACCGAAAAGACATAGAAAACAAACTTCCAGTTAACAAAAGGGAAAGGTGGAGAAGGGATAACTTAGGAGTTTGGGATCAACATACACACACTACTGTATATAGAACAGATAAAAAGGACCTACAGGAACCTACTATAAATCACCTAGAACTATACTCAGTATTTTGTAATAACCTATAAGAGAAAAGAAACTGAAAAAAAAAAAGGCAATTAAGTATGTATGTATAACTTGTATATAAAACTTGCTATACACTTGTATAGTTGTAAACCACTATATACTTCAATTAAAGAAATGGCAAATCAAGTACCTAGTAAGGTATGGTATTAACATGAATATTCAAATTACTGAATGTTTACCTTAAACCTTCAGCTTTTGTTACATTGTTTGATACAGGTTTCTTTTCTCTCACTTTCGGACCTTAGTATTATATGGTAAATTATGGTGCTATTATTGCCAAACAAACCATCATCTTACATCCTTTTACTGGGGGCAAAAAAGCAATGGATTACTCTTTTACAAACTACTCATGACAAAAGCATTGCAAAAGTGGAGAGTATCTGTGGTATATATATAACACAAAATAGTTACAAGAAGTCTAGCTATTGAGTCTGCTATATGACACTGTTATATGTGTAATATTGGGAAATGGCAACCCACTCTAGTATTCTTGCTTGGAAAATCCCATGGACAGAGAAGCTTGGCAGGCTACAGTCCATGGGGTCGCAAGAGAGTCAGACACAACTGAACGACTGAAGCAGCAAACAATAATATTCTATGACCAAAGTATCTGTGTTTTAGATACCTTGTTTTGGAAGAACTTCCCGGAACATCGACTTCATTTCTGCCATATCTGAAGTGTTGGATACAGTCTCGTCCTTCAGTGAGAAAACAAATATTCAAGAATGAATTCCCAAAGCATATTACTTGAGATATTTCCACTGTAGTTTAAGAAGTAAAATCACAATGTGTATAGAAAATGAACCATTCTATCCTTGTATAATTTTTCTTTTAATTACCTGTAAGTCTTTCCATTGAAACAAGGTTGAGATAGTTCATGTAAGCATGCAGACCTTGTCAACTTTCGTTCATCAGTAGTGGTGGTAACTGGAAGGCTGCATGTTCTAAATTTTTCCCCTCTTAGTGAAAACTGGTAGGGCTTAAGTTTTTCAGGCAAAGGTAATTGATTATCTAGTAGGTATCTCTGCAGCCAAGGGAAAACAAAAGGACTTATGTGCAGCTGACAGCATCTCCTGAGGGGTAGGTTATGTTAAAAGACAAGACCATTTGGGAGGTGGCCTATGCCAGGCTGTTAGGGAAAGGAGGTAGTACTATGCAAATACTGCCTAACATTCACACTTCTTTCAATAGCTAACAATTCCTGCTTTAATTCCTTTGCTCTAATGACAAAAAGCACCTTAAGGATCAGTTACTGGCTACACAGCTGCAATTTGTAAGGAAGCAACACAAGTGAAACTGGCTCCTGAATACCAGAAGTGAGCTGTGCTTTCAGTTTACTGTTTTCCTCTAATACACATATATTAATACTATATGCTGAAGTGCCAGTGAATACCCTCACGTGAGTATTTTCTTATGCAGACCCCAGTGTATATGTCATTTCTGGCTAGTGACATGTTTCCAGTGTTACATCCCAGTTCATGCCATGCTATGTATTAGTATATTCAAGGTGTTCTGGCCTGTAATTTTTAGCATGATCCCCTTCCAAATACAGAAACTTCTCTAGACAGTCCCACCCATTTTGTGATATTCTGCCACACTGATGCAACCTACTGTATATCTTTCACAACAGCACCGCAGAAGAAAGATTTATTATCTATAATGTGATGATGCTGGCTTGGTGCCTGCCTTTACCACCCACTGCAAATTAGTTATAATCAAGTGAAGCTGCTGCTGGTCTTATTCCCATTACCACTATTTTGACATTCTCAATAAAAGCTTCCTCCTCTCCATCCACCAGGCCTTTTCCTCTTCTTGTTCAAATTCCTATTCTGAAAGATCTAAAGTTCCTGAGGAAGCTCTATCTGCTTTCCAGAACTGTCATCAAAACTTACCCCTATTCTGCTCTGTCTGGGAAGGAAGATGAAGTAGGGAATGGACCAGGAATAAAGCGACACATCACATTACCTAGAATCTGAGATAAATGCAATTTACTCAGAATGCACGGCTGCTTCTCCTTCTGACACATTCTTTCCTTCTTGTTACTTAGGCCTGCCAGTGGTAACTAGTGATCATTTATTTATCCAGGTTATGTTGAAGGGTAATAACACTGCAGCTCTCTGATTAGCCTGAATATAAGAAACACTTTACCTCTCAAAGATAGCACCATGAAAATATTCCTTAAGCCTTTATTTGGTGCAAATCTGACACGATATGCTACCGAAAGGGAGGATAGACATTATAAATGTTGACAAATGTGAAGGAAGTGCATAGCATTTAAGAGTTTTTATATCACCCATTTTTAAAATCACCAAAATGCTAAAATGGTGGATGAACAAATACTTAAATCTTAGCTGTTTTAGAACAGCAACTCTAGTTACTCATAATTTAATCACTATCTTTTGCTTTCTCTTCTCTATACCTCACATCCAAAATCTAGCTTGAGGAAAACAATGAAGCTTGGTGCTCTATGAAACCTTAGTTCTCTGACTAAGCTGTCATTGTTACTGGAAAGGGTGTGGAGCCAAAGGCCCAGTAGGGAGTGGGTTGGACCTGGTGTGGGGAAGATCAGTGCCGTCACTTGCCTGGGTGGAGTGTCTACTTTGCTGGGGCTGATTCTTGTTCCGAGGTTCCCCCAGGCATTGGCAGGAGAGAAACAGGAAGGGAAGGGCTAAAATAAGCAAGGTGTTGGTTGGTTGGCTGGCACTGCCAAGCCTCCAGTGTCTTGATAATCAACTTCCCAGGGAGCCCAGAGTAGGAAAGAACATTTTTATCCTTCTCCAGGTGGCCTGCTAATAGCCAAACATGGGTGTTTTGCCTGGTGTAATGTACCCTATGGAGTGTGGCTACCCCAAGGGTACCTTCTAACTGGTAAGGTAAGATGTGTGTAATACCAGGGACATATAGGCCCAAGAAGGAAACATACCAGCTATGGATGAAATTCATGTATATTATACAAATGTCACGTCATTCAATTCAATAAATATGAGTGTCCGCCATGTGCCAGGAATCATTCATTAGTGAATAAAAGAGAAAAAAAACCTTTGCTCTTTTGGAGCTTATGGTCTAGTGTATAGAGAGAAAAACGAGTAACAATACAGTTACAGAAGGCAGTGTTACAGAAACTAACATAGTTTAAGGGGATTTAAGAGTGCTGGGGGTTGTGGTGGTTATACTTTAAATAGGAAAATCATTATGGCCTCATAAAGTGAAAATTATTGGGGTCTCATTTTGTGGTGTGTGTGTTATGTTTTTCGAGACTGCAAAAAAAAATCAAAATGCCTGAAGTATCCAGTTAGGGAACGTATAGGGAAATGGGCACTCCCTATTGGTGAGCAGGTTTGTCGGTATAGCATTTATAGAGGGATAATTTGTAGTATGTTTAAATATTTTGTAATATCTACGAAAACTAAATATGTATATTTTCTTTGACCCAAACATTCTACTTCTAGTAGTGATCCCTAAAGAAACAAAGCATGAGTGTGTAAAGATAAAAGAGTTTAGTTCAGTTCAGCCGCTCAGTCGTGCCTGACTCTTTGCGACCCGGTGGACTACAGCACACCAGGCTTCCCTATCTATCACCAACTCCCGGAGCTTGCTCAAACTCATGTCCATTGAGTCGGTGATGCCATCCAACCATCTCATCCTCTGTCGTCCCCTTCCTCTCCCGCCTTCAATCTTTCCCAGCATCAGGGTCTTTTCAAATGAGTCAGTTCTTCACATCAGGTGGCCAAGGACTGGAGCTTCAGCTTCACCATCAGTCCTTCCAATGAATATTCAGCACTGATTTCCTTTAGGATTGACTGGTTGGATCTCCTTGCTATCCAAGGACTCTCAAGAGTCTTCTCCAACACCACAGTTCAAAAGCATCAATTCTTCAGCACTCAGCTTTCTTTATAGTCCAACTCTCACGTCCATACATGTCTACTGGACAAACCATAGTTTTGACTAGACGGACTTTATTGGCAAAGTAATGTCTCTGCTTTTTAATATGCTGTCTAGGTTGGTCGTAACTTTTCTTCCAAGGAGCAAGTGTCCTTTAATTTCATGGCTGTAGTCACCATCTGCAGTGATTCTGGAGCCCCCAAAATAAAGTCTGTCACTGTTTCCATTGTTTCCCCATCTATTTGCCATGAACTGATGGGACCAGATGCCATGATCTTAGTTTTCTGAATGTTGAGTTTTAAGCCAACTCTTTCACTCTCCCCTTTCACTTTCATTAAGAGACTCTTTAGTTCTTTGCTTTCTGCCATAAGTGTCCTGTTATCTGCATATCTGAGGTTATTGAGATTTCTCCCGGCAATCTTAATTCCAGCTTGTGCTTCATCCAGCCCAGCATTTCTCATGATGTACTCTGCATATAAGTTAAAGAAGCAGGTTGACAACATACAGCCTTGACATACTCCTTTCCCGATTTGGAACCAGTCTGTTGTTCCATGTCCAATTCTAACTGTTGCTTCTTGACCTGCGTACAGATTTCTCAGGAGGCAGATAAGGTGGTCTAGTATGCCCATCTCTTTCAGAATTTTCCACAGTTTGCTGTGATCCACACAGTCAAAGGCTTTGGCATAGTCAAATAAAGCAGAAGTAGATATTTTTCTGGAACTCTCTAGGTTTTTCAATGATCCAGTGGATTTTGGCAATTTGATCTCTGGTTCTTCTGCCTTTTCTAAATCCAGCTTGAACATCTGGAAGTTCACGGTTCACGTATTGTTGAAGCCTGACTTGGAGAATTTTGAGCATTACTTTGCTAGCGTGTGAAATGAGTGCAATTGTGCAGTAGTTTGAGCATTCTTTGGCACTGCCTTTCTTTGGGATTGGAATGAAAGCTGAGCTTTCCAGTCCTATGGCCACTGCTGAGTTTTCCAAATTTGCTGGCATACTGAGTGCAGCACTTTCACAGCATCATCTTTTAGGACTTGAAATAGCTCAGCTGGAATTTGATCACCTCCACTAGCTTTGTTCTAGTGATTCTTCCTAAGGCTCACTTGATTTCAAATTACAGGATGTCTGGCTCTAGGTGAGTGATCACACCATCATGATTATCTGGGTCATGAAGACCTTTTTTGTATAGTTCTTCTGTGTATTCTTGACACCTCTTCTTAATATCTTCTGCTTCTGTTAGGTCCATACCATTTCTGTCCTTTACTGTGCCCAACTTTGCATGAAATGTTCCCTTTGTATCTCTAATTTTCTTAAAGAGATCTCTAGACCTTCCCATTCTATTGTTTTCCTCTATTTCTTTGCATAAAAGAGTAAGAATGTTCATTAGGACACTGCATTCAGGCATATGTCATAGGTAAAATAAATTATAGAAAAATCATACAATGGAGTACTCTGACAAATTTTAAAATGATATAGACTGTCAAGGCATATTTTTTAGGCAAAACATTAAATTGCAAAAGTTAAAATTCCTACACTAACAGAACGCAAACTTTTAATGCTGAGAGAATATAGTGTCAATCAATTTTTGAAGTTTTTGGTCTGGGTAATTAGAAAATAATCTGTTGCTTCCTTCTCCCCCAGTTTCTTTACTTTGTAATTTCCCCCACAAATAATGATTTTGATGGATAATGCATTTCAAATCATGATAAAAGAAGCAAACCTTTTGTAGCCATTTGAGCTAGATGTCTAAAATTAATGCAGAAGAACTCAAAGGGAAACCAAATTTTTG